CTCTTTCATCTCCTCGTGGTAGCGCTCAAGCTTGGTGATCGATTCTTTGAACTTTTTGAGGGCATCGGCGTAGGCGGAGACAGCGGTGAGTTCAGCTGTGACGCAGTCCCACTTCCTCTGAAATTCTGTCTTCGAGTCCAGAAGCCGCTTCATGCGCTTGTTGAGTTCAACCATTTGGTTCTTGGGCTCATCTGTCTGGTCCTTGGGCTCATCTATCTGCAAAACTGTCAGAAAGGAGGGCATGATGCCATCCGGTGGCCAATTTCCAACATTGAATCCGGCGCATCCGTGCTGGACCAATTCTTGTCTTCTGGCGCTGTTCATGCCTGATTGCTCTGAAACCTCCATGTTCTTCACAGCTGCAATCGTCTGGGCGACGAAAAAACGGTGGTCTGGCAAGGTAGGGTATCCTTGGTCTCTTGGGAACTGGAACGTGACATGGCGTTTGCAAAGACCGGTCTTTTTAGACAGACCACGGAGGCTTCTAAGGTCCCTCCAGAAGAAAGGAAAGACGAGGTGGACGTTGGTAGTTTGTGGAAGAAGCTTTACAGCTTCTATCCACTCTGCGTAGATATCGTGGGCGTTGATATCATGGCCGTGGGGCAGATAGCTTTCTTTCCAACTGGCGAAAGCCTTGCGGACTTCCTCGGGAAAGGTGGCGCCGAAGTCGAACTCAACGTGTAATTCCAGTTTGTTGGAGCAGACTGCTGCGTGTGCAGCAAAGGTCTCGGCAAAGATGCGTAGAGCTCGCGGTGTTGAGAACTTGAACAGGATCCAAGGTGCCACGAGGGTGAGAAACTCTTCGGTAAGCTCTGTCACTTCACCAACCTCTTTTTGAAAGAGATCGCTTCGGCCACTTGCGCTGATCTCGTCAAGAAAGAAGCGATGGACGACGTCCATCGTGATGGCGCCACCCTCTGCCACAGTCTTGTAACTACGCTCCACCTCTTTTAAGCCTTCCGGAATGGCCGTGCAAGTGTATAATTGATTTCTGACTTCCGCGGGAAACCGTTGGTAGTCGAGTGCCTGCGAACTGGCTGTCTTCTGTCGTTTGGGCGGGGGCTCCTGCTCACAAGCGATGTAAGTATACAGCTCAAGGTACCATTGATGTTCGTCCAACGTACCTCCATCTTGAGGGTATTCTCCTGAGAATGCAAGTCTCAGACTCCGAAACTCGATGCAGTTGACGGCTGGATAGTGTTTGTGACGTAAGTGGAGCCTTTTAGTGAAGAGATTGCAAGTCTGCGGTCAAATAGGTCGATGTGGTTGTGATCTGGTAATGACAGCTACAGGCTTGTGCAACTGCGACACAGAACGATGTTCGAGTGTAGGTGAGGAAGCGTCTGTTCTAGCTCACGCTCGTTGATGAATACTCAGCCAGTCAAGCTCGTGGAAAGAGATTTGTGTGAGATTGTTCAGCGTTCGATGTCCAATCGCGTCCGAAGTGCTGAAAGAACGAGGAGTGGAGTGAAAGGAAGATGGTTCAGGAGAGAAGAGTGAAGGGTGTGGGTAGTACTTATAAACAAAATCTACGCTGTGTGCGGTGTTTAGAGGAAGGAGCCAGAGAGCAAACCGGAAGGAGCAAGGGGAAGTGCCTGCCTCCACTTGAACTTGTGAATCCACCAAGTCCTCTAGCAGTACCTAAGACAAGGAGCATTCAGGCAACAGCACAGTGCGTCTTAAACAAATAGCCAACTCCTGGGCGGGGTGCTCGAATGCTCCCTGTGGCTATGACCTTATACTTGGTCGTTTGGCTAGTAACTTGACCTCAGATGCCTCAATTTTGAAATTGAGATAGATGCATACAAGGAGTGATCAAACACCCTGCTCTCCAAAGACTGAGATATCTAAGCTTTTGAACGGATGGCTACAGAGAGCATTCGAGTACCCCTTCGCCCTGGTGCCCCCATTCCTTTTGCCACCGATCCAATGTACGGCGCTGAAAAGGGGTAAATGCAACCATCGTCAGTACGGTGAATGACTTGACGAAGAGTAAGAGTTTTGAGCATTGAAAAGGCGCCAGTGCCAATATCTACGGCATTCCCAAGCGCAATAACTGCATCAATGCTATTCTCATCCAACCAATGCTCTCCCCACCAACTTTCCCTTCAAAACTCTCCCTCCAAACCCCCGAGTCAACCACTCCACACCACCTCACCTCGTAAACTCGGGCCGGAAAGCCTGCGCACCGCCCTTCATCAACTCGCGCAACGCCACCGTGGCATACATGCTCGAACCCAGCTTGAACTTCAGCACAACGGCCAGCCTATCCTCCGCCAGCGCCTCAGTCGCCTCAGCGGGCTTCGGGGGCTGCATACCGGGCAACGGCGTCTTGGCGTACCTATCGTTCTTGTCGACCCAATTGCGCTTGCGCGCCTCCTCGAGCGAGATGCCCTTGCCCTGCTCAATGAGGCGGTCGAGGTCCGTCGGGACGAGCTGATCCGTCGCCGAGGCGCCCTCGCGGTACGTCTTGACGTCGAAGCCGACGCCGCCGGGCAGCACGCGGCCCAGCAGCTTGCGGTAGGCGCCCGGCAGGCTGATGTCGCGCCACTTGCGGCGCATGTCGAGCGGGTTGATGCCGCCGCCGCGCTGCTCGTCCAGCATGTACTCTTTGTAGTAGGCGCCAATGTCGTTGGCCGGGTATTCGACGTCGTAGCCTGGCGTCGGGAGCACCACGTCGAAGACGCTGTACAGGCCGGACTCGACTTCGGCTGAAGTCAGGGGCCGCGCGCGCTCGAACGGGTCCGCCGCCGCGTTGTCGCCTGCCGGCCGGATGATGGGCTCGCCGTCGGCGTCGAACTCCTCGAGGTCTTCGGGGGCCGCGGCGGCGCCGTGGTTGGGCTCCTTGTCCTTGTGCTCGTGGACGAGGACCAGGTCGCCGGGGATGACGCGCAGGCCGTGGCGCTTGATGCGCTCGCTGGCCATGGTGTTCCACACGAGCGACTGGTAGGCGTGCGGGTACATGAGGCGCAGGTTGCGCGGCAGCTGGTACATGGCGCCCTGCCAGTCGGTGGGGTGCTTGAGCTGCTTGGTCCGCTGGTCCTTTTGGCCGAGCCACGAGATGAAGCGCTTCTCGGCCACGAAGCGCGCCGGCATGATCTCCAGCGCGCGGTGGGCGTTCTGCTCCGTCTTCCAGATGTGCAGTGCCTTGGCTCTCCTCCTGTCGTCGTCGGAGATGAGCGACTCTTCCTCTTTATCGTAGGCTTCGACGGCTTCTTGGCTGTAGGACATGATTAGGTCTATGGCAGTGCCCAAATCGCCCTTGAGCATGTGCTTTCCAATCGTGTCGGTGGAGACGGCGAAGGTACCGAACCGCTGGAGACCAAAGTAGTTGATGAAGCCGTGGCGTTCAAAGTGGTCCACGGCCTTTTGCAGACGTCCACGGGCATTCTCGGCGCGCTCCTCAATCGACTTGCCCTCCTCTTCGGGAAAGTGGCAGTCGCGCAGGGTAATGGTGAACTCGTTACCCATGAGGTCACCAAGAGACAGAGCCCTGGGCTTGTACTCAAAGTTTCCAATGCGGCAGTTGAACAGCGTCGCGGCCAGATCCGCCATTTGCGCCGCCGATATCCTCGTCGCGCTGATGCGCTGCACCGTGACGGCGCGCCGGTCCTTGGTACCCGCATAGCCAAACTTCCTGTCGTCCACGCGCAGCGCCTTGCACAGGAAGTTTATGATTTCCATCGTGTCCTTGTTCTCCTTGTAGAGCGTAAAGTGCAGCTGTTCGCCGCCCACCTCGAGCCAATTGACCTTGTACGCCTGGTTCTGCTTGTTGCCCCTCCGACCCACGCTCATGCCCTTTGAGTTTGGCGGCGGCGCATGGCCGCGCCTCACCTTGGGGTTCCCGGCAACGACCTTGATGATGCCGCCCTGCTCGGTCTCGGTGTTGAGGCGGTGGTTGAAGATTTCGCGGACGGCTTGGTGGGCGGCGCTGCGCTCAGCTCGGGCAATTGGCTGCGAGGAGACGGTGTCAAAGTCGCGGGCCTTGAGCTTGGGCTTGGAAACGACGTCGCGGTCGAGGGCGATGATGGCGTCGGCCGTGTCGCCGAAAATGGCCTTGAGGCGATTGACATCTGCTTCCGCAATCTACTCGCGTTAGCAGTCTGAACATTTGGTCTGGATTGGTACCAACCTCGCCCGAATTGGCCTTGGATTCTTCCTCCGGCCCGGGTGCAGGCTCCTCAGCAGGCTTTGCCTCCTCTTGCACCTGTTCCGCCTCCGCCTTCTTCTCTTCTTTTGCTTTTGCCTCCTCCTCTGCAGCAGCAGCCTCAGCAGCCTTCCTCTCGCTAGCCAAAAACCCCGCATCCTCATCCAAATGCCACACCTTTCCATCCAGCGCAATCTCATTCACCATAAAGTCATGGTAGCGCTGCTTGAGGACACCAACAAAGCCGCTCGCCTCGGGGCTGGTGAACTGATCCACGCCGACGCGAATCTCCTTGGCCAGCTGGTCGTCGAGGTCGCGGCGTGCGGCCTCGTCGCTCACGAGCGACAGCGTCTGTGACAGGCATGCGGCGCCTGGGTTCGAGGTTGTGGCGGCGTCATCGTCCGAAACTCGCTGACGCTTGGCTGGGCGGTCGGACGGGTCGAGCTCACGGTCGGCCATGGTGAGTCAGGGGTGTCAGAGCGGTAGTGTGGGAGGAAGAGGGTGGTGGGTAGGTTGTGGAAATGTTTGCCAGACGCGCTGCGCGCGGTAGTTTTTCACGAGGCGCCACCTCGGCGGGGTGGCTTGCACTGCAAGGCGGGCATGTTGACCCGAGCAGTCGACGACCACGCCGCGCTTCTGCGTTTCTCTTGTCCACTCGCTGCCGCAATGCTTCCATCCTCTCCGTCTCGATCGCTTCACTCCAATTGCCAACTTTCAGCCCCCAAGATTCTCACACTGTCCCTAAAAACGACCGCATTTCTCTTCTCTCCGTAATGATGTTGTATATATTGCACACAAACTTTTCCAAATTGCAAATACCTCCCTGGCGAATGCCCACATTTGCCGAAAGCCAGCCAGCTTGGCGCAGGGGTAACGCGTCGCACTTGTATGGAAGCGGCTTGCTTTCGATTAATGCAATGCGAAGATCGTGTGTTCGATTCACACAGTTGGCAATTTGTTTTGACTTTTTGGTGGACAAAGACGGAGGGAAGGAAAGAGGGCTGCATCATGTTTTGTTGGTCGGTTGAGTGGGAGTGAGGAGGTAAGGGGGTCAGGTTGGGCGCGAGGGGAGCGTGGGGTGCTTGTGGAGCTTGGAGCGGGGTTGGCTTTTTGCGTGGGCAGGAGTCGAGTCTTCAAGCAGAGCAAGCAGAGAGATGTTGGCTTTTCTGCTTGTGCTGCTTACAAACACCATCACTATTCCAAAGAGAAAACGAGCTGCTTCACTCTCCCACGACGCAGCACCCGTTATTGTTGTCGTTTTTCGAAGGAGCGTACGTTTAGTTGGTCTGGCTCTGGGGTGCGTGACACAGCCACACCCGCGCGCCACACCCACCACCATCATCTACCCACCTAGTCACCTCCCCACCACCACTGCCCACTCCGTCGACTGTTCTAGCCCCAGAGACCAATCCAGACTCCAAGTCCTTCACGAAACCCACACGAGCGGTGTGACATCACAGCGTCAGCCCGGTATGTAATCGATGGACCCGCTGTTGCGGCTGAGGCAGGCAGCCCGGCCGCATGCTGACTGGCATGGGCTGAGGCGGTGCACGCACACAACCAAAGCAGAGGAGGATTTGATGTAACTGCAGGAACGAGGTCAGTCGTGTGTGTGACGTCGCGGTACGAATGGAACCTATACGTACTGCTCGGTCGATGATGTGCTCAGAGCGGTGACAGCAAGAGAAGGGAGGGTGGTATGGGAGGAGAAGAAGAAGAAAGTTTGATAGGGCAAGGAGGGGGCTAGAGAGAGATTTGAAAGTTTGCAACGTATATTCTGTATTATCGAGGCGCTATGCTATATCTAGGTAGCCCGTTGGACCCATGTGAGATGTTTGTTTGTGCGTGCGTGGATGGGTTTTGTGTTGTGTGGTGTGGTATCAGAAGAGGTTGTGTGTATGTGTGTGTGTGTGTGTGTGTGTGCGTGGGAGAGCCATACGCCGTACCTATCTACAGATATGGTGGTGGTAGTAGTAGGGGCTCAAGGTATGTGACGGTGCTCTTCAGAGCGCGGGGGGAGAAACCGGCCAAGGTGGAAGAAGACGGGAAAGTTGCAAAACAGGAGGAGCCATCATCCGAGACAAGACGAGACGAGACGAGAGGAAGAAATCCAGCAGACACGAAAAAAACCAATCAACACCTCCAACACCTGCAATGATGCGACTCTTTGCACGCGTCCCATGAATCCCAGAGACGAGAAAAAAGACAAAAGGACCAAACACCATCCAAACACCTCCGCCAGCATTGGAGAAAAGAGAGACGAAAAGGCTAAACTCGGCATTTACCTCACAACGTGACCGAGCTCAATCTCGGTCCTCCGCTCCTCTCTACTTTTTGCTCGCGTGTGCTCTCCGCCTGCCGCCGCTCTCGCATTCGACCGTCCCCTATCCCAACTCTTGCTCTGCTTGCTAGGCACCGACGACGCGCCCACGGCATAATACTCGTGCAGGCCATGGGGCGGCGCCCTCGCAGCAGCCTGGGGGCGCATCATGGCGCGCAGGGTATTCATGCGGCGGGCATTCGCATTGGGGCTCGCCGCGTTCTCGCCGTCCGACTCGTCGTTCTGGGGGAGGTCGATGCGGAAGGTGCTGGTGCTGGCCGAAGGAGAGATGCGCGGGTCGTTCTGCTGCTCGCGCTGTGCTGCTAGTAGCTTGGTCCACTGCTCGTTCACGATTTCCTCCTCGGTGCGGTAGTAGGGGCGATAGGGCTCCCCTTGCTCCGACGGCGGCACGTAGTCGGGCGGCAGCCGCCGGACAGAGGGGAACATGTTTGCGATCCACGCGTCGTAGGGCGTGACCTCGGGCTGGAGATTGGCCGACGAAAACGGCGCGTTGCGCTGGTCATGGCTGAGCTTGCTGCGCAGCTTCGAGATGCGCCGGGAGGTGAGGACGAAGAAAACGGCGTACAGCACCGTCATGCCGGCCGACAGGACAATGGCGATGATGGTGGCGGCGTTCCATTGCGTGTGCTGGTACACCAAAAAGTTGTACAGGGCCGTCAGGAGGCCCAGCGCCGACGACGAGATGGTCGGTAAGAAGACGGATTCGGTCTGGAATGTCCAGCTCCGGATGGCGACGCAGACGACGCCCGTCAGACAGTAGCCGACGATGAAGAGCGCGATGACGAAGATGGTGAGGATCTTGGGGTCGATTGCTATCATGCCTCGCGGATTGTCATGGAAGAGGGGAGTCATGATGACATATCTGTGGCCGCCGCGTGGTCAGCATCGACAGACTGTGACGTGGAATTGCGCACTCACCCTCCGAATATCATCCATGTTGCTAGCAGAGCAGTCACTCTCCAATACCACTAGAACTGCATCAGCTCGGCGCTTGGCAATCGATGGGCAGGCAGGTGTTGACCGACAGGCACAGCTTCTCTCTCGGCGTTCAAGTCGCTCACGGTCATGTACTCGTGCCGAGGCCGCGGCGACATTGGAGTCTCGTCTTGGGCGAGGATGAAGGGCTCGGCCGGTGTGCGTCAATGTGCCAGTAATTGGACCTCAGGCGGCGGTCGGCCAGCTACCCCATGCGCGTATATACAAGACGGTCGCGTCGCGGTCGTCGCGGAGGGAGGCAGGCGGGCAAGCAAGTGCAGCACAGCGTGGCAGCGCAGAGCACTTCTATTCTTTCTCGAGTCGACTTATGCGGGCGGGAGGGGAATTAGGGTTCTGGAAGATGATGCGAGGAAGAAGACGAGCGGCGCGCGGAGAGAGGTGTATGACAGGCTCGTCGCACGAACGAGGGCGGCGGCGGAGGAGAATGGCAAAGTGCGGTAAGGCCGAGGGAGGTATGGATTACAGAATTAGGGCTGTACGTGTAGCCAACAACAGAGTGACGCGCAAGAGGGCAAAGCAAACGGCGGCAGGCAAACTTGGAAGAGAGAGAGAGAGATGGAGTAGAGAAATGTAGGTAGCGGCAGAATAGGTAAATGTAGTATCAAGCACGGGCAGCGCGATCAAAGTGGAGAATACGACGCAGCAGCACCGTGACCGTGACCTCTGCACCGCACGAAGGCAGCGGCGCGGCTGAGGCTGAGAGATGATGGACGCACATAACTGGGGAACGGCTAGGTAGACATCAGCGAGCCGACACTTGAAAAGACCATGCAACTGAAGGAACAAGGAGCAGTATTTCAGCCACGCGCGCGGGAGAGCTTGGAGTAGTTTCTGAATCGTCTCTTTCAAACCTCATCTCGCCGGGTCGGAGGTCAAGTCCCAACAGAGAGTGAGAAAAGTACACAAGTGGGACTCCCGCCGGGCGACATGACCAGGGCAGGAGGACCAGGGCTCCCTCGGCCTCGGTGCACCGCCCAGCCCCAGCCATTGCATTGCCAGGTCTCGGGTCAGCCTGCAGCCATAGCTCCCGTTGTTGATCAATGAGCAAGCAAGCAGTTTGACGTCGACATGGAAAAACATGTTGAGATGGAGTTGGAGTTGGAGTTTGGCGCTACCAGTTCCGTGTGTCGTACCTCGAGACGAGAGAGAGATGCCCGAGCACATGGCATGTGGCCTCCCATCCTCGGGTCGGTTGGTCGCGTCGGCTTGGCAGCTGTTTTCTTTTCTTTTTTTTCGTCTTGCGCGTCCTACGTTTAGATCTAACTACATTAGATACATCTTCTCTCGGCGTCAGCTTGAAGCTACGGTAGTAGTTAGGTTGTAACGCGCCAGCTCAGCATCCCCCTTCTTACATGTACGCTTGCGCCCTGTCCGACCAACGACGACCAACCGCGCGCGACGACTCCTTGGTTGATGTTTACCCGGTCGTCGTCGTCGTGTCACTCTGTACCGGTTCTGGCTTCACCTGACAACGTCGCTGGTCGGCGCGTCCCGCGGGCTCGTCACCGGTCCCCAACGGTGTAGATAGAGACGATACCGGGCTGGTCTTTGGCTGTTGGCGTTGACTGTTGCTGCGGGCCGGGCGGAGACATCCAGGGACATGGCTGCTTCCTGGCGTCGATCCAGCTCCCACGACAGCGTCAAGCTTCAACTTAGAGTCGTTGCCATGACGAAACTCGACCCGGCCAGCCAACCACCGCGTCCTTCCCCCACCAGCCCCCCCCCCCCCCCCCCGCCAAAAGAAACACCCACTACAGCTATGCTGGCTGTCGTTTCTTGCTCACGCCCTGCTAGTCTAGCTAAACCTGACCTTATCCCAAATCATGCTGCCTTTCCCTTTTGCTCTTGGTGTTTACTCTCCTCGTCCCTCCTCACCGGTGCCGACGGCCCTCTTCATGCTGCTGCACTCCTCCTCCTTCTTCCCCTTCGTCCCTTTCTGTCCTTGGCCTGCATCTCCCACCTGACCGGTCCCTATCGCCCTGCATATCTCCTGCTGCTACTCCACCTGCCATCTGGGCTTTTTATACTGCATCCCGAATCATTCGCTGCTGCCACCTCCAGTCAGACGCCCCCCACACTCGCCCCAAACCTTATACCACCTACATCTTCAACCTGCACAAGCGGAGCCGAGGGGTATCTCTCCCGCATCCGGTGGTCGAAAAATCTTCGCGCACACTCGCTCTCTCACACACGCCAGCCTCCACCAGAGGGTGTGCGCCGTCCAATAAACAAAACACCCGTCAACCCACACACAGCACCACCATGGCATCGCTCTTCCTCGGGTGCGGCGCACTGCTCTCGCGCAAAGCACGCGCACGCCGCAAGGCGCTCCGCGACGCCGAAAAGGAATACCGCGCAAACTTCGACCGGTACCGCTGGGAAAACGAGCGGCGCGTCCAGCGCATCCAGAGCACCATCTACCTGACTCCCGTCGACGTCCTCCAGCAGAACCACCACCAGAGCCACCAACAACAGTCGACCGGCTCCCCTCCGCCGCCCAGCTACGACGCCGTGAGGAGAGAGGTCGCCGCCGATGAGAGGGCAAAGTTGACCGCGTCGGCGCACGAGCGCCCCGAGAGCGTCGTCCGCACCAAGGACTGGGCCGTCGCTGCTTGA